TTTTTTTATCACAGTAGCTTTATAATATAATTTCAAGACAGGGATTGTGATGCTCCCGCCTTGCCTCTGTTGCCTCTTTTCTATTCTAGGTCTCTTCTGACTCCAGATGACTTCTAGGACTATTTTTCTCTAATTCTGTGAGATATGCTATTAAAATGGCCATTTTCACTATATCGGTTCTTCCTACGCAAGAGCATGGGATATCTCTCCATTTTCTAATACCTTCTTCAATCTCCTTTTTTACAGTACTATACTTTTCAATGTAGAGTCTCTTACATCCTTTGTTAGATTGATTCCTAGGTGTTTCATCTTTTTGGATACCACTGTAAAAGGTATTATTTCCCCAATTTCTCTCTCAATGAGTTTTTCATTCATATACAAGAATTGATTTTGAGTGTTGACTTAGTAACCAACTCCATTACTGAATTTGCTTATTAAATCTAGAAGTCTTTTGGTAGTTTCTGGGGACTTCTAAGTAGAGTACTATATCACCTGCAAATAACAACAGTTCAACTTCTTCCTTTCCCATCCTTATTTTATTTCTTTCTCTTGTCTAATTGCTCCAGCTAAAGTTTCCAGGACTATGTTGAATAAGAATGGAGACAGTGGACATCCTTGTCTTGTTCCTGATTTTAGAGTGAAAGCTTTCTGTTTTTGTCCATTTAGTATGATGTTGGCTTTTCATAGATGGCTCTTATCAGATTGAGATAAAGACTATCTATTCCAATTTTCTGTAGGGTTTTTACCATGAGTGGGTGCTGGACTTTATCAAAAACTTTTTCTGCATTTATTGAGATGATCATATGATTTTTGTCCTTGGCTCTGTTAAAGTGGTATATTACATTTATGGATTTACATGTGCTGAACCATCCCTGAATCCTTGGGATGAATCCCACTTGATCATGGTGTACAATCTTGCTGCATACTGTTTGCAAGGATCTTACTGAGTATTTTCACGTCAATGTTCATTAGGGAAATTGGCCTGTAATTCTCTTTCTTAGCTGCATCCTTCTCTGGTTTTGGAATCAGAGTAATGCTTGCTTTCAGGAATGAATTTATGCGTATTGCTTCCCTTTTAATTTCATTAAAGAGTTTGAGAAGTAATGGTGTTAGGTTGTCACTAAATTTCTTATAGAATTCAGCAGTGAATCCATCAGGGTCTGTTGATAGGCTTTTAATTGCATCTTTGATTTCATTTGTTGATATTGGGTTATTTAGGATTTTCATATCTTCTTGATTCAGCTTTGATAATTCATATGATCTAGTAATCTGTCTATTTCTTCTGTGTTTTCCATCTTATTAGAATACAAGCTATCAAAGTAGATATAGATGATTTTCTGGATTTCTACAAGGTCTATTATAATTTTACCCTTTTTATTCCTAATTGCATGGATTTGAGTTTTTTCTTTCCTGTTTTTGATAAGATCAGCTAAGGGTTTGTCAATTTTATTCAATATTTCAAAGAATCAACTCTTCAACTCATTGATTGTTTCTATTTTTTTTTTTTAGTCTCCAGTGTGTTAATTTCTGCTCTGATCTTTGTAATTTCTTCTTTTGCATGAGCTTTTGATTTAGTCTGCTCTTCTTTTTCTAGAAGTTTGTGGTTCAACATTAAATTGTTTATATGTGCTTGCTCTATTTTCCTGATATGGGCATTTGCTGCTATAAATTTCCCTTTTAAGACTGCTTTTATTGTGTCCCACAAGTTCCAGTATGTTGTATTGTTGTTGTTATTCAACTGTAAAAACTGTCTAATTTCTTCTTTAATGTCATCTGTGACCCATTGGCTGTTTAGCAGGGTATGCTATTTAATTTACATGTTTTTATGAAGTTCTGTGGTTTCCTTTGGCATGGATTTCCAATTTAATTGCACTGTGGTCTGATAGTATGCATTGGATAATGTCAAATCCTCTGTGTTTACTTAAGCATGTTCTAGGAGCCAGTATGTGGTCTATTTTGGAGAATGTCCCAAGTGCAGCTGAAAAGAATGTGTATTCTGATTTTGTGGGGTGGAACACTCTATAGCCATCCACTAAGTCCATTTGCTTACAAGTTTGATTTAGTTCTAATATTTCATTATTGATTTTTTGTCTAGTTGATCTGTTTTTTTGTGACAGTGTGGTATTGAGGTCTCCCAATACAATTGTATTAGGGCTTATTTAATTTTTCATGTCCATTAGTAATTATTTTGTATAGTTTGGTGCACTGGTATTTGTTGCATATATATTTATGATTGTTATCTCTTCCTCTTGGATTGTTCTTTTACAAGGATGTAGTGACCTTCTTTATTTCCCTTAATCAGTCTTGGCTTGAAATTCACCGTGTCTGCAAATAGAATAGCTACTCCTGCTTTTTTCTGGATTCCTGTTGCATGGGGTATTGTTTTCCATCCTTTGACTTTCAGTCTATGAATTTCTTTTTGAATTAAATGTGTTTCTTATATGCAGCACATGTTGGCTCTTGCTTTTTGATCCATTCTTCCAGTCTGTTACTTTTGACTGAATTGAGACCATTAACACTGATGGTTAAAACTGATATATATTGATTTATCCTTGTCATTTTTATTTTCTCATTGTTAATTCTTCCCTTTTTTCCTTCCAATTGTTTGTCTTTCCTAGTGGATTCCTTCTGTTGGGGTTCGTGGAGCTATAGTTCTTATTTATCTCTTTCTATAATGTCCTTCAGAATATTTTAGAGTGCTTTTTTGGTCATAAATTTCCTCAGATGTTCTTTTTCACGGAAATATCTTACTTCTACATCAGTTTTGAAAGATGGTTTTGCAGGATACATAAATCTGGGTTGCAAGTTGTTTTCCTTTGGAACTTGGGAGTATTTCACTCCAAGCTCTCCTTGACTTGAGAGTTTGTGCTGAGAGGTCAGCTGTGATTCTGATGGGCTTTACTTTATAGGTGATTTGTTTCTTTTCTCTAACAGCTTTTAATATTCTAGTCTTGTGTTGAGTTTCTGAAATCTTGACTATGATATACCTTGATGTAGATTTTTTTTGATCATTGCTAATTGGAGTTCTATATGCCTCACTTATTTGTATGTCAAATTCTTTTTCTCTACCAGGAAAATTTTCTGTCACGTGTCCGTGAATATGTTTTTAATGTCATTTGTGGTACCTCTTGCTTGTTCACTGACTTCAATCAATCTTAAGTTTTTCTTTATCTCATCTAGCAGTTGCTGTATTGATTTCTCATGGTCCCTTGATAGTTTTGAGAAGTCTTTCTTTTTTTGGTCACTAACTACAATCCTGCCTTCAATATCTGAGATTCTGTCCTCACATTTGCCTAATCTGCTTCAAATACTTTCAATGGAGTTTTTATTCTCCTGGATATCTGCTTGAATCTGCTTTATGGATTCCATTTCTTTCCTATATTGTGCTTTCATAATTTGCATAAGCTCATCTAATTTTGTGTCTGTGTCTGCTTTAATGTCACTAAGCATGGTGTGCATTTTGTTAATCTCTTGAGAGATTATTTCTGATTTCATTTTTTCCAGATCCTCATTCAATTGCTTTGTTGTTACCACTTTGGAGAGACCTGGTGGGGGGCCTGATTGTCCCACTAAATTGCCCCTAGGATTTGCCTTTGGAGAACTGGATGTCTAGGGTTGCATCTTGTTTAAGTGTCTTCTAATTTATTTCTTTTAAAATTTAATCCCTGGGGTGATGCTTCTAAGTTGCCTGTTGTATGTTTCTTTATTGGTTTTATTTAGGACAGTTAGAATGATGATTACATCTCTGAGGTGTCTCCAGGTATAGCTGGTTTTTGGGGTTTTGAGTCTGTTGAAAGATCTTACCTCTTCAGTTTGTTGGTGATGAGAAGTTGTTGCTCATTTGGCCTAGTCCCTGGTTCTTTGTCACTGTGCACAGTATAGTACTTAGCTAATCTCAGTCATGGATTATCAGGGCCAACAGCTATTTAGAACACTTATGTCAATTTTGGCAATGGCATCAAACACAGCCTATAAAACAACAAATTGAACTGACCCTTAATTTGCAACTTTTAACCATGTGAACTAGATTTGTGATTATATAACAAAATGTAAAACAAACCAGATATTTATATGCAGTATGTAAGTCAATTTTGACTTGGAGGTTAAAATTTAAAATGGATTAAGAAGAAAATAGAGAAGTAGAGAGAGAGAGATTACAAGTAAGGATGGAGGACAAAGATAAATCCCACCAACTAGAGGAAACTAGTGCAGAAGATTGAAGGAAAAGAGAGGTAGAAGAGATAAAAGAACAGACCAGAACCACACCCACAAAGAGGTTAGGAACCACTCTCACACTCATTAAAAAAAAAAAAAAAAACAGTGAAAGAGAAAGAAAAAACAAACTGAACAAAACAAACAAGAAAAGAATACTTTAAAAAAAAAAAAAAAGTCCACTTAGGATTCTCTCTGTGTTCACTATAAACAGCCTGTGGAGACAGAGTCCTGAATCATGCCCCTGTATTCCAGCAAGCCAGCTGTTGCTTTATGGCAGAATACTAGGTAACCTTAGCAGGCCTTTCCCAAAAACAGACTCACTGAATTGCCACAGTCCAAGCAATTTCCATGGGTGTGCACCCAGCTAGGAGCTGCTGGAGGATGCGGACAGCGGTTCTAGTTCTGGGCTTATCTGGCCTGGCTCCAAAATGGCTCCAGACAATTGCTCTCTCCCACGGGAAGACTAAGCCCTCCTCTGCTCTTCATATCTTTTGGACTTTCACATTTTTCACTCTTTTCTGGTTATCAGGATTTTGGAACCTTTAAACTAACTAAAATCATTAACCAGAACAAAGCACTGGTATATTTACAAGTAAAAATTGTGTTGCCATTACAGATTATTCCCATAATAACCAAATAAGTTCCTGAAATGATTGTTAAGTGTCCAACTCAATAATTTCCACTTTGTAATTCTCTTAGGAAATACTGCAAGTCCAAAATTTTACTTAGTAACCATACATTATTTCATGTTATAGTGATATTTATGATTATTTCTATTTTTCAAGGCAAATGCAATAGGCCGAAGTGCTAAAACTGTTCGAGAATTTCTAGAAAAGAATTACACAGAAGATGCTATATCAGATGACAGTGATGCTATCAAATTAGCAATAAGAGCCTTACTAGAAGTAAGTGGTAGACACGTTCATGAAAGCATGGATTATTTTCCTTATTCATTTTAATTGATTAAACACAAATTTTGTTGAAGAAGTAGTCTTCTGGGCATGGTTAGGCACACTCTGTATCACTGAGCTACACCTCTAGCAAGCTTGAGCTGTGCTGATGTGTACTTGTTCTACATTAGGTTGTCCAGTCTGGTGGAAAGAACATTGAACTGGCTATAATAAGGAGAAATCAACCTTTGAAGGTAAGTCATTAACTAGAGAGAAAAAATATAGTATATTTTAATCAAAATTGAATTGTTACTGACACCTGTGACTCTTCGTTATAGGGATTAGATAACCATTCATACTGATTGATAACATGATGACTTTTGTTTCTGTAGGCTAATAAACACTTATTTTTATGTGCTTATTTCAGGCAGTTATCAATCTCTGTCTCTTTGTGAATACTTGTGAGTGCTGCAGTCTCTGAAGAGGGCCTGCCCTTTAGCGTATTTTGCTGGAGGAGGAACACCTAATTAGTCTTCTGTCGGGTCAGTGTAGTATGTCCCCATGGAAATTCACTGCCGCACCACTGAGAGGGCAGTTAGTCTTCCTGTCCTTGAGATCCTCTGAAATCCAGGTGTGCTTCCAGGCAGTATGATTCAGCTGGCATTTTTATATAATTGTGTGTCCTCCAGGTTGTGTCCTTATTATATCTAACGCCTGCACTCCTTCCTGATTGATGCGGGGTTTTTATGTTTGTTTTTGGTGGCAGCAGGGATCAGACAGAAGGCCTTGTCAATGAGCACACACTTTACCACTGAGCTGCATCGCTAGTCCCCGTCTGCTGATTTTGATTGTTTCCTCTACTTTTCATTTGAGAGTGCCTAGAGCATCTGTCAGACTTACATTTTAAAACCCAGCATGACAATTTTTATTTGTGGTTAAGTCTAACATTATTTGGTTGCCTTTTTCAGTTATTAGGATTAAAATTTCCAGACCACAAAATTAACAACTCGTAATATTGTGATAAAGAATAGCTAAAGACCATTTAAAATAGTCCATTATTGTTTTAGGTAGAATTCTGTACAGTCTGGTTGCTAATTAGTTCTCTGTAGTTAAGAATGTACTAAAGCACTCAAATCATGAGAAACTGTATTAAACATACTAGCAGAGCTGTTGTGTGTACTGTAATGGACTTTCTATTGGTTTTAATGAAAATCAGTCTTTCTCTTTCTCTCTCTTTCCTTCTCTCTTTCTCCCCTCTCTTTTTTTCTGTGGCATAGGGGAGTGAATCCAGGAACTCTGCACCAAACTACATCCCAGTTGTTTTTATTTGCTTACTTTTATTTTGAGATAGGATCCAGTAAATAACTAAGTTGCCCCCGCCAGTACTGAATTTGTTCTCCTCCTTACCTTCTGTACCAGCAATCAGAGATGACTAAACAGAGCTCTCAGCCTGGTTTGTGCTGTTTCTGGAACATACTATTTTGTTTTCTGATTTATTACCTGTCTGGTTTCTTTCCTAAACTGTAGATTCCTTACTGGAAGGCAAGAACTGTATTGTTCCACTTTATTTTCAGAACCTATGAAACAGCAAATGCTTGATGGGTAAATTTATATCATAATATTAGATAATATACATAAATTGTTTCCAAATACATATTTTTTGGTATACATATTTTCTTATTTTTGAAACAGAAAGTTTCTGCAGTTAAATCAGGAGTCAGTCTTAATTTTTAAAACTTCTTCAATTTTGAGCTGACTAAATTAGTTTTATGAACCTCAACTTCCTTATATGTAAAACTGGTAGTAGGCAGACTAATTGCTAGAATACCTTCCTTCCCCATCATCTTTAAAAATTTGGCTTGTCATAAAATTGATTCCTTTATCAGTTTCTTTGATAACTCTTTCATGATTGAGATTATTAAATTTAGATCTCTCTATATAAATATCTTCAGTTAAATGGTTTTTTAGCATCATTATGTAATCTTGGATCTGGTCATGAATAGTAAAATTGCAAATAAAATTACGTTGCAAATTCTTAGAAGAAAAAACTCTTTTTACTTTCTGCTTAGTGAAGGAAAAAAAGCAGTGTAAATCATCTTTTCCTATCTGTGTTGCCTATTTTGTGAGCTACTGTAAAATAGTTAAACTCTATCAGAGAAACACTCAATAGGGTGAGGTGTGTGTGTGTATATGTGTGTGTGTGTTCAATAATGTATTTTTGTTCATGAATAGCAATAAGCCTTGCATTAAAGTATTTATAGAGTTAGATGCATACATAAGGTGTATAATTTAGTATCACATTTTACCCAGCTTTCTTTTATAGTACAGTGATAATGGAAATGTTAGAGGGCTGATTTTGTCCATAATTACAAGTGTGCTGCTTTTGAAACATTTTACTGTATATTTGAAGTTATTAAAGTTACAAACAAAACTATAAATTTGTAAAAGATGGAACTTCTTCATATTGTCATTATTTAAATATTACTGTAATTAAAATTTGCATTTAAAATTGTTTCCTTTTTTCAGATGTTTAATGCCAAAGAAATTGAATTACAAGTAACTGAAATAGAAAAGGAAAAGGAAGAAGCAGAGAAGAAAAAACCAAAGAAAGCTGTTTAATTCTTAGGATGAACATTTGAAACTTTTGATGTTTTGTTATACTTCTTGGAATTACTTACTTCAGTTTTAAAGGAAGTAAGTTTTCAGTGTTATGTTTAGAACTTCTATGTGCTGCTTTGAAAATGTCAAATATGTGGCCATCTTTATTACAAAGTCAAACATAGGCTAGTGAGATGACTTTCTTGAAAAGGAGATTCTAGTAATTGTCAACAGCAGTTCTAATTCTACATATGCCTGAAAGTATGTAGCTTGTTCAGTGTGTTATTTTTCTTCATATAAGCAAATTAAGAGAAGTTCTAATTTTAAAAAATTAGTAATTTACTGAAGTTTAAATATTCACTTTCAGTTAAGCAGCTCTTTCAAAATATACTAGATTTAACATTGAATTGCATTTATTGATGAATGAAAAAGCATCCATATATTGGTAAATTGTCAAAATTTTGTTAGACTTGATTTTTAAATAAATATTTTGATTTTACTTTTACTGTCTTTATCTTATAAATTGCAATGTATTATCTTATTCATGGAATATTAAAGTCTTAATCCAAATGGGCAGGTAAAGTGTCATAAGAGTTGATAAAGGCATCCTAATAGGATGCTAGTTTGAAATACCTGTAATTTTTAGTTTAGACTTTATTTCATCTCAAGTGTGTTCAGTATGTTAGGTTCATTACATGTTCTGTCAAATACCTCAATGCTTATGTTACACATGGCATCATGCTGAGCTTAGTAGGTGGGACAAGACAAGTATATAAAGTGATCCCAGCCTCTTAACAGGTCACCTATAAAGTCATCCGTGGACTAAACCTGGACACTGATGAGTGTCACACCCCCATGATCCAATCACCTCCCTAAAGCCTCACCTATAACACATGAGAGAGAGAGAGTGTTGACATATGTGAACACTTGGAAGAACTAAACAACTCAGTGAACCAGCATTTTCCAAAAGTCTGCATGGTATAATAAAGTCATGCATAAGTAAAAGATTCATTGGGAGAATTCTAATATAATCAAAGGTCTCTAAGTATCACAGCGTGAAAAGTTAACTGATATGGCTTCACTTTCCACATTACAATTCACCTTTAAAAAAAGCTACCGCTTGTCAAAAGTTGTTGTAGCATGAGGAAGATCTGTAACAATCTGAAAAAGCTATTAAAATACTCCCGTGCTTTCCAACTGCATATCTGTGTGAAATATTTCCTTCAAATACAGCACTCGAACTAGAACAACATATTGCAGCAGACTGAATGCAGTGTCCATGCAATCCAAATGCCCTGTGTAAAAGCAGACATTGAAGAAAATTTACAACAATATTATTCTCCCTACTGTGGGGGAAATTTGTGGTTATTTTTCATTAAAAATTTTATGAACTATTGTAAAATCTTGGTAATGTGGGTTCTAATTATTGATTTCTCATCTCTCAGGTATATATCCAACTTCCTCTGTGATAGTAAACTGCACTGTGTCTTGAAGACTTTTACCAGCTGGTGAAATACCAAGTTGTGTCAGTAGAGGGCACTAAACTGACACTATGGAGCTATAGTAGCTTTGGATCAGGGGAGGCTGGCTCAGGGTATTCCTTGGTTCCCCAGGGCAGCTTACTCCAGGGTCAGCCCAGGCCACACTTCCCCACCCTCAGTGAGCCATTCCCTCGGGCAGGTGCACCATGCAGCCTCTGTGAGGCATCTGACTTTCAACCTTGCAGAGGGCTCCTCTCTCAGTTTCCCACCGTCCACTCTTCCTGCAGAGAGTGCACGGCTCTCTTTTCTTACTACTTGTAACAGTATCACAAACCAGATAATTTATAATGAGTAGAAACTTTCCTGGCTCACAGCTCTGGAGGCTGAGATGTCCAAGATCCAAGGGTTGCATCTGGTGAGGGACTTTCTCCTGCCTCTTGTACAGTCCAGCACTTTTTTCCTTGCTACATTACCCAACCTGTCCTCAAACTTGGGATCCTCTTGCCTCAGCCTGGAAACTAGCTAATGCCACCAAAGGACTAGCAATGATTTTTTTGCTGCCGCTTCTGGAAAACTTGTAGTTCTCTTTTTATTTTTGTCAGTTAGCCATATCATATTACCTAGTAATTCTTTCTTTCCCCCTATGATATTAGGGATTGAACCCAGAACTTTTACAATGAGCTAGCTACTTTCCCAATTTTTTTCTTTTCTTTTTTACTATGTGATGGGGCCTTGATAAATTGCTTAGGTGGGGTCAAACGTGTGATCCTGTTTGCTCAGTCTCAGAATGCTGGGATCATAGGCCTGTGCCACCACATCCATCCTCTAATAATAATTTATATTAAAATTTCCCTCTTCAATAAGTAGTGTGAATTGGACTCTCAGATGAGACTTGTAATGAGACTTGTATTGTTATTTTTAAATAGACTAATAAATAGCTTGTAATTTTCTGTTTAATTCCTCTTACCTCTCTCCTCTCTTCTCTCTCTCTCTTTTTCTCTCTCTCTCTCTCTTTCTCCCCCTCCATCCATCCCTCTCTTTCCCCTATGTGTGAGTACTCTTGGCTTGTTTTTTCCCTGAGAGTGTGCTGCTAAATTTGGCTAGGTTTCAATTTGTGATTCTCCACCCTCAACCATATCTGGGATTACAGATGCATGCTGTCACACCTAGATTTATTTCTAACATGGTAAGTACTTATTTTTAAATAGAATAATAAATAATTTGTAATTTTCTCATTTTAAATCCCTCTCTTTCTCCTCTCTCTCCTTGCTCCTTTTTCTCTCTAGATATAGCCCATGTAACTGGAATATTTGAAGGTTCCTCAGTGTGTTAGTTACTTTCCTGTCACTGAGACAAAATACCCAGTGCCCCAATTTAGAAAAGCAGAAGTTTATGTGGCCCAGGTTCTAGAGGGTTTAGTCCGTGGTTGGCTGGCTCCAGTGCAAAAATGGCATGGTGTAATGGTCCAGCAGAGGAGAGCTGCACAACTGTTATCATTTAGATCTAAAATGTCCCTGCAAAATTTTCTGTGTTTGGAAGAAGATTGGATCATGGGAACACTATAGTTATCAGTGGATTTATCAGTTGATAAATACAGTAGCTAAATATGCTATTAGGAGGTGGTGCCTGGTTGGAGGTGGGTTGTCTTAGTTACTTCTCATTGCTAGGACAAACTATCCAACACTCAGGAGGTAAAGAAAGTGAGATGTATTGTAACTCATGGTTTTCAGAGATTTCAGTCCATAGTGGGCTGGTTCCGAGGCAAGGCAGCATGGCAGGCAAGGAGCAGCCAGACTCCCTTCTTCTTTCACTTTCTACCCCATTCAGCATGCAAGCTTGTTGGTTGGTGCCATCCACAATCAGTGTTGTGGATCCACTTCCCTCTTCAGTAAATTCATCACCTGCACTCAGAACCATGCTAAACCAGTCACTGGGATAATCCCGAATCACACACCATGATCCAGTCACTTCCCATCTGTGAGGCTTTGGGATGACATCGAGGTATAAACCAACAACCTGGGTCTTGGAAGGTGTGACTTGGAATAGTGCATTCTCGTCCTCAGCTCCTCCTTTCTGCCTGCCGGGGATGAGCATCTTCTCCTCTGCCATCTCCCTTGATCATCCTGCTTTTGCTTGAAACCATGGATGAAACTGCTAGCCAATATAAACCTGTCCCCCTCTTAAGATGTGGCCCAGCTATGGGAAAGTCACTAAGACATCAACCCTCTGTCAGTGAGGACGCAGAGAGGACCCAGGGGACAAGAATATACCCAGCTAGGTAGTAAAGTGCTTGTCTACCATGTTTGAGGCCCTGGGTCTTATCCTCCAGACTAAAAGAAATAAACAATTTTTAAAGTTCAAGAACCACTGCTTGACTACAGGTCCTCAGAGTTTCAATATGTGAATGCTCATTGGAAATCTAAATTTAAGCCCAGGTGCAGTGTACATAAAGCTAAGGTCTCTTTAGGAACAACAATAGAGGCAAAGGAGCTTACACCTTACCCACTGATAGTACAGTTGAAGTGTGATCATATACTGGTATCATTTGGTGGCGAAGAAGAGATAAAGTAAAATTTTACATCTAAGAGCAAGGAAAGACCTCTGGGAAGAATTACCTGGAAAAAAACACAAAAGAGGTGATGACGAGTGGGAGGTTTTAGCTATTTCCCACAAAATGAAGGAATTGAAAGTCAAATGGTAAAATAACATAGATCCTTTGTCAAGGAACTTAAAGTCTACTGGAAAGACATCACTAGGATAGGAGGAAAGAAGTTTAGTGGCAGGTGTTTGTCACAGAGAGGGGTCCATGGGGAAAGCTCTCCTCTCTCTCTGCCTGACAAAGGAGAATCTAACCAATGTACTAATACTACAAAACATGATTTATAAATTCATTCCTTTAGTCAGCATTCATTAGCATCTACCATGGATCAGGCCCTGCTCCAGGGTATACGGTATAGGCCACAAACACCAGGACTCTTGTCTGCATAATCATTGTGGGCAGATGTGCACAATTATAATTCCAACAACTGGAAAGATAAGGTAGGAAGATTGTCAGTTTAAGGCCAGCCTGGGCAACTTAGCAAGACTCTGTCTCAAAAAACAAACAAAAAAATGACATTTTAGACAAGAAAAATAATGAAATCTTACTGGTCTGTTGAATGTCATCTACTCAAACCCTTCTGTCATGGCTTCCTGACCACCCATTGTGGCTGTTTTTATCTATGTCTGCAGCTTCTCTTTCGTCTCTTGTTCCCCTTATTGGTTCCTTTTTCTATGCTGCTGTGAAATGCCGAGGTTTGATGTGGGGTTTTCTCCTTTTACAGTACTTCTTCTTCCTCAGTGATAGCATTCAACCCCATCACTTTAACCCTGTGCCAGGAAGTGTGCGGTCAAAGGTAACATAAAACCTAGATCACATTTTCTTTTCAAGTTCCACTTGAACCTCTCTGTTTTCGGTTCTGGTGTCTAAACCCAGGGCCTTCACCCTGAACTACATTATCAGCCATTTTTTTTATGTTTCTTTTTGAGACTAAGCCACTAAGTTGCCCAGGCTAGACTCAACTTTGCCATTCTCCTGGCTTGGCCTATGAGAGTGCCACTGGCTCTTTCCTGATCTTTCATATCAGAACTGTTTCATCCTCCCTTTCCTCATGCATTATGAATGAAATCATCATTTACCCAAGTTCTTAAGCTGGATATGTGAAAGACATTCTTTTTGGCATTTACAGG